AATTCACATTTATCAAATGCATTTTGAATCTTTAAGTTCAGGATTTTTCTAGGTCTTACACATAATTGCTCCACCAATAGGTACTAATTGATTGAACACAGCCATAATTCAGTGAGTACTCTTGTATTGTAAGTGCATCTGTCTTCCATTTGTAAAGAATCCAAAAGTTAACATTGCCGTGGGAAACTGCATTTTTAGTTCAAAGACAAGGATGTGACTGTTCTTAAAAGGGAAGCCAAGAGTATAGATATGAGAGTGATCGGAGTCAAGTTGGAACCTGATGCTTCAAGTCAGTATGCACAAATACTGTTACCAGAAAAATCAAAAAGCAGTGTTCCAGAGAACAGCTTTACACATATTGTAAACGTTTTGTTATCTGGCATGTTAGGAAACTAGAAGAATCAGTTCTAGAATTCTTAATAACTTCAAAGGTAAATTGCTTCTTTTATTTGCTCCCAAGAATGTTTGAGCTGAAGACATTTTTCAGCTCACCAGATTCAACACATTTGTTTTTATAGATAAGAAAATCAAGACACTTAGATGTCAGGTGACTTAGAGCTCAATTACTCAGGCTTGCTCTTTCAGTAACCCCCTTTTCCTGCTGTGAGACACAGGGGAATTACTCATTCTCACATAGAAACTTCTGTGGGTGAATCCAGGTTGTGTTTAGTTCCCAGGGCCCTTGCTCTAACTCCAGTGCTTTCTTTCCTACTTAAAATTTAAAAACTAATTAGGCATTTAACTATCCCTTTCTTTTTCGTTACGAGAAGCACTCTTTAAAGAGGAAGTAACAAAACAGCCCCCGAATTTGGCCAACAGTGTTTTTAATATTGAATTTTTAAATCGGGAGAGTTTGTGCAGAGCTCTGGATTTGCTGCTGTGTCAACAATGAGCCACATTCCCCATGGCAGCCCGTAGCTGGGAGCTCCTTTCCCCAGGCCACACACTCTCCCATTATCTGCCTGACCTCGGAGGCTTGGAGGCACAAATTGCCCGGATTACAGGAACTTTGGCTTTAGCATTTTTTTGCCAAATAAACTGTGTATGAGGTTCATTCTCTATATCTAACCACTTCCAGGATTGCGAATGTTCTTGAGTCTCCCCAAGGTTATGGTTAAGCTGAGGGTCCTGTTCACCTGACTGCACCTGTGAGGAGCTGGCAGATTGAAAGTTAGAAAGGTTCAGGCCACTTTGGTTTTAAAAACTTGGAATTCTCTGAGATTGCTATTTCTGTGCCTAAAAAGCTCAGACTTTTGCTCATTCAGAGACAAGAAACTTTGGCCTGTTTCCTCTGTGCTGGAGGCATTTGGGTTCTAATGGGATGCTGGCTAGCACAGAAATGGGCTTCCCCCCTTTCCTGTTGCTACTCAAAGGCAACAAACAGCATCACCTGGGATCTGGGGAGAAATGCATAATCTGGGCCTCACTCGAAATCTACCAAATCCGACTGTGCTTTAAGGAGATCCTTGAGGGGTTTACAGGCCCATTAAAGTTTGAGAAGCACCACTAGAGTGAGTAGTGGGAGATAACATTGGCTCTTCTTCCTTGTCCTTGGGTCCTTTGTCCCCCAGCTGGCTCTGTGCGCCACGTGTTCTCCCTGCACAGACCAGGACTCCCCCACAGATGATGTGCTCCCCCCACCACCCGCCGCCACCATCACCCCCAGGCCAGATTGCATTTGAGTTCATATCTGCTCTGATTTGCGAACCATTTAGCACTTTGGCTTTGCCAAGTTTATTTTCCCCAGTCCTTTTTATCCCTTCATGAAATTTTCAAATGGATGTTAAACAGGGTAGAATATAGCCAAGATGGTTTGTGAATGGAAGTTTCTCCCACCCACAAGCTGTGTTCTCCGTCCTGAGTCATAAGTCAAGGATCAGGCAAGGCTACATAATTATTTTTGTTGATGAAACCCTACGGGGCCAAGATCTAATTTTCCTTCCTCAAAACAACACGAAGCCCCTCCCAGCCTGGCGGTTTGCCTGACCATCCCATCAGCGCCTGACTGTACCTCAGGGGGCCTGTTCAGGACATCAGAGGGCTGACTGCAAGGCCACAGCCAGTAGAGTGAGTGTAATGTGCCACAGTGTTCTCTGAACAGACCTCATGGTTATCTTGTACAAAGTCTGCACTACAAAACTCAGAGTATTTCTCCAGCACTATATAGCTCTGTCCCTGCCAACACCGTTTCACACTAAAAAATAAAAGAACCAGAGTTAAGGATTAAGTAAATATTACAAGAGACAGCAACCTAGGTCACCTGCTTATTTTTGAAGTAGGTTTACTTTGTTGGCTAAACCAGGTAGAAAACTTGGAGTATGCCTTAGTATCCCACAATACCCCAAACAGTATATTTAGTTTGTTCTGTTGCTTTTGGGTCTTCCAATAAGATGATGTTGTTTTTTTTTTCCTTCCCAGAGTTCACATCCAAACTATAAACTCTAACCATGGTCATGTCAAAACATCATCACTGTTGAAAATTATTAGGGAAATTGGGAATAGCAGAGGAGGAGTGGGAAGGGGTAGAAGCCAAAAGGAAATGAAGTATGAAGTACTTGCAGGTAATTGCTATTTCTGACGTAATTCTTTCACACAGGTTTTAAGATAAGTAATTGTTGAGGGGTGTGGAACAATTGCGAGTGCTAGAGTAGCCGTCCTGAGGGTGTCTGCCACATGAATATAGAAAGCAGTGTGCAAGGAAGACAAGCAGCTTTCTGGAAAATGCTTCCTAGAAGATAGACTGGTGTTCCTCACTCTTGTGAATCGACAGTCAGGCTTTTTATTCAGTGTTGCCAACAGTACCAAAGCCTACCTCAACAGACATGCAGGTGTGCATGGAAGGCCACGCCAGTGGTGTAGGTGTTTTAGGCTTCTGGTCTGAATATGATAGAACTAGAAGAGAAGATGGTTAGAAGAGAAGCACAGGCCTGCATGAGGAGGAATGTTACATGAGAACTACAACTCATCTTCAGAGAGCATTGGCCTAAGAACAGTCAGTGCAGGACCATAGAAAAGTTCACTCATTCACCAATATTCCAACACGCCATTTTGAAACTGGAAGTAACTCCTTCATTCTTAGATCCTCAGAACCTCATGATTTTAAAGGAAGAAGGGATTGAAGGAATCTCGTCCAACTAACTCGTGCCCCAGGAGAAGGGAGGTGAACTTTGTCTCCCACTGCCCACTGGGTGGTATTCCCTACTCTAATCCTCAGGCACAAAGCTGAAGGGTACAGATCTTGGTCCTGCCCCTCACTGTGCCCCCAGACCTTCTGGTATTGCCCTGGAGTCAGCCCTCTCCTAAGAGTCCCGAGTATGATGCCCTCGGAGTTGCACTCTGGCCCAGGCTCTGCTGCCTGCTCTGGCTCTGAGTCTCCTCTGTAAAGAGGATGAGATTGTGCCTCCAGAGGAATCAGGGCTCCCTTCTGGCATTTCATTCAAAATGTGTTCAAAGAAACAATCTCATTTCAACTTAATGGAAGGAGGTGTTTTTTTAAAAAACCAAATTAAGGTATCAAAATAGAACCGCACAATTAAAGGAAATTGTTAACGTAGGTATTGCCTTGGGGTTTCTCAAATCTTGCATAGGAAAATATTTTTATTAGAACAAACCCCTTCGCAGATTACTAAAATTATCTCTAACAAAACCTGGTGATGGGTTGCATTTAGAGATTTAAGAATTTCAGAAAATTATAAGGAGAAATATCAGCATATTTGGTTGTAATATGACTGTATTTATTTTGTCAATTAGTTATTTGGCATGTTAGTTGAATAGGTTACTCTCTTAACATTCCTAATGATAACCAAAGATGCTGTTAAGGTCATTAGCCCGTTGCTTTGGAGTGCTGATGCATTTGTAAATGTTCTCGGCCTGCAGTAACAGGTTATGGGATGAATTGTTCCAGGGGCTGCAGGGGTAAGTGTTATGTTATATGGCATATTAAATAAAAAGACTCCTTACAGAATTACAGTAGGAATATTGATAAACGTTCAACTATTGACAGGTGGGTTTCGTTGTTGTTGTTGACTTGGTAGTCAAGTTTTCCCATGAAAGCTTACCTATTACCCAAGTGTTCTATAGTATTAAAGTAACATATTGTTAGGTATGATTGACACTTTTAAGACTTTGTTCCTAGTACTGTTAGGGGATTTGGAAATATACATACCATAAAGAAACTTTTGATTTCTGCTCATTAAGTATGAAAAATTATGGATAACTTAGGGACAATCAAATTATCTACTCATATGGTAAATCTGGAAGTATTTCTAGGTTTCTTCTAATGTTAAAAAAAAAAAAAGTAAGCTTGTGTTTAATGGGAGCAACTCCATGCACATTTGTGGTTTTCAGGAGAAAGTGTTTTTAAATATATTGGTTGGCCAAAGTAAGATAACTGAAACATGTTGAGTTTTTTTGGTTTTTTTTTTTTAAACTTTGTAGCTTTGCTGCCAATCCCATTTCTTGCCCTTTTCAGTTTATGAAGTTATAAAAGGAATTGTTGTAAGTGTTCCTGAGAGATTGGGAGTACGGAGGGAGAAGTTTTGCTTCATTGCAAAAGAGATAATTCACGACGTTGCAACCGGGGGCACGGAAGGGATTCGTAGGAACTCAGTAGCATATAATGAGCTGGAGAACCGGACTTGGCTAAGCCCTCATTCCTACGTTCATCTAGTATTTGCTGGATTTTGAGCTAAGAAATGCCAACCGGGCGTGTTCAGAAGGCGGATCTCACCAATCCGGAGGCAGCTGGAAGAGTTCGCGCGTGGGAAACCTTAGCCCTTTCTTTCTTCCCAGCACAGCGTTGTGCTGCCGCGCGTCGGCACAGGCGGGGGTGCAAGGCCCGGGTTGTCCCCCTCGCGCATTTGGGGAAACAACTGCTGAGCTGCGGCCCGCGACCCTCGGCCGCGTAGGGGCGGGGCGGGGGCGCTGCGGGGTTTCTCTGTTGCTAGAGCCGTGATGTCACCCGCCCCTCCTAACCCGCGGTTGGTTGTTTTGTGTTTCAGCTCTGCCTGCAGTTGAACACAAAGACCTGGAGGAGACTCCCACCTCTTCAGGGAGAAGAAAGGAGGCAGCGAAGCAGATTAAAGGAACTTGTGGCTTGTGGCCTTTTTGTGCAAGGGCTGCCTGAAAGGGGAGAAAAGTGTATGAAAGCCACCGTGGCGGTTAATGAGCTGTGAGATGAGGCGCTGCTGCGGCCGCTGCTGCTGACACTCGCTCCCAGGCTGCACCCGCTGCCCTTGGCGCTTCATGTACATGTGTCTATTCAGGCCGTGCGGAGGCGTCCAGAAGAGCATCCAACACGGCTGCCGGGGAAAGACCGCCCACCATGCCCACGGAGACCCTACAGACAGGTAGCATGGTGAAGCCGGTCAGCCCCGCGGGCACCTTCACCTCTGCCGTGCCCCTGCGTATCCTGAACAAGGGGCCAGACTACTTCCGCAGGCAGGCCGAGCCCAACCCCAAGAGGCTCAGCGCCGTGGAGAGGCTGGAGGCCGACAAGGCCAAGTACGTCAAGAGCCAGGAGGTGATCAACGCCAAGCAGGAGCCCGTAAAGCCCGCCGTGCTGGCCAAGCCCCCGGTGTGCCCGGCTGCCAAGCGCGCGCTGGGCAGCCCCACGCTCAAAGTATTTGGCAACCACGCCAAGACCGAGAGCGGCGTGCAGAGGGAGAACCTCAAGCTGGAGATCCTGAAGAATATCATCAATAGCTCCGAGGGCTCCAGCTCGGGCTCGGGGCACAAGCACAGCTCCCGCAACTGGCCGCCCCACCGGTCGGAAACCACCGACCTGCACCGTCACTCCTTCGCGGAGTCCCTGAAAGTCTACCCCACGCAGGGCCGCGGCAGCCCGCAGGAGGGCGGCTCCCACGTGAGCAGGAGACTGCTGGAGCAGTCAGCTGAGTCCTTCCTCCACGTGTCCCACAGCTCTTCGGACATCCGCAAGGTGACCAGCGTGAAGCCCCTCAAGGCCATCCCCTGCAGTAGCTCTGCCCCTCCCCTGCCTCCTAAGCCCAAGGTCGCAGCCATCGCCACCATGAAGTCCCCCGAGGCTGACCCTGTGGAACCAGCTTGTGGAGTCAGCCGAAGACCCTCCCTCCAGCGGTCTAAGTCAGACTTGAGTGACAGATATTTCCGAGTGGACGCGGACGTGGAGAGGTTCTTCAACTACTGTGGACTGGACCCGGAAGAGCTGGAAAACCTGGGAATGGAAAACTTTGCAAGGGCTAATTCTGACATAATATCCCTCAACTTCCGCAGCGCAAGCATGATCAGCTCAGACTGTGAACAGTCTCAGGACAGTAACAGTGACCTTAGAAATGATGACAGTGCCAATGACCGTGTGCCGTATGGCATTTCTGCCATCGAAAGAAATGCCAGAATCATCAAGTGGTTATATAGCATCAAACAAGCTAGAGAGTCACAGAAGGTCTCCCACGTGTAAGACAGTGGGTGGAAAGGAGGAAGGGTGGGTCTCTGTGCTTACGCAGTTGTAAAGGTTGTGAGGTCTCCTTGAAGTGTTGTGAGCTTCTCCACTCTTTGTGTTGCTTGTTGTGCAATGTTTTCAAGTTGCATGCCTGTCAACATGGGGACTGACCTGGCTTCCACGTCACCATCGCTGCAGAGCCTGGCCTAACACGCGTCATCTGCCAAAAGTTTCAGGCCAGAATCTAATTAGGGCTTTGCTCTTAAGCAAAACTGTTTACATGAAAATGGTATACGACTTCTTCAATATTTATGTGGTTCTTGTGTTTTTATATCCCGCGCTATTATGTCTTAATTAAAAGTTTTATCAACTGGCTTTTAAGTTGAGAGCAGAATCTTTTTGAAATAAAAAGCCACTTTGCCTACATGTGAGACTATTCCAATGGGACAGTAAATGGGATCTGCTACCAAACAGATAGTGACTGACCGCACATAGAACCAGGCTGGGTTTTCTGTGGAATAAAGTGGTGAGCCTGACGTTAATCGTTTACATGTTGAAATTCTCTTGCCACTTAGTGAAGTGTCGCTGGGGTAACAATGCTAAGTTTTGTGTCCGATTCAGTGTGTAAATGTTGGTGGTTCTGTGTAATGCTGACCCCAAGGAAAGACAATCAGATAAAATGAAGGATGGTTAAATCTAGGAGGTTGGGTGTTTGGGGGTTTTGTTGATGTTGTTCTAATTTGGGATATTTCAGAAATTTTTAATACTATCTTTTGACAGAATGGCCACCCTAAAACAAATACTGAATGCCTTTTAAAAAAAAAAAAAAAGTTGTGTTTATTTGTTTTTGTCGAGAACTACTAATTTCATGCTGTTTCTTTCTCTCTCCCTTTGTTGTTATTTGATTTGAGGGAAGGGAGTGAGGCTTGTGCAGATTTGAGCTATCAGAAGACATGAACAGAAGTGAAAATACCAGCCATATCAGTAGAGCCTCCCATTCAAAAGTGAACACACTTGGTAGCTGAACCATATCTGAGCAGCGTGATTCTGTTGTCTTGCATATGTTACTCTCTCAGGCTGTGGGTCTCTGTTACAGCTCTAGGAAACTGTAGAATTTCAATGCTATGTAGCTTTTCCACCCCATGGTCTCTAGTGCTGCCTATCAACTTGTCCCCTTTTTTTCCCAATAACCTGTCTTTCAGGTGGTACAGTTAGCTGTCACTCAGCTGACTCTATGATGTGGCAGCAGAGAGGGAAACCTACAAGTGGTTTGCCTCATTGCCTTTGCCACATCTGAAGTTCTCAGCAGCGCTACCTTAGACTTCATCAGCTAATAGGAAACTTTTTATGGTGTAAATGCTGTAAGACTTTGTACATACTTCAGTTGTTATGAAATCTTTAAAGAAAAAAAAGAAAAAGTTACACTAATAAATTGCTCTGGTGCAGGCACTAATGGTGGTGGTTTCTCTTTGTCCTTCTGTATTCTCCTTCCACAAAAGTTTGACTTTGGACTATGAATCAGAAGCAGATTTTTGATAGTCTTGAAGAAACATTATTTCATTAAGTTATATTCACCACATTCCAATTACTCCAAACACCAGTGTTCTTAATTGTGGCTCTAGCAATGTGCTTTTGCTAAAATGGTTACATCAGGGTTCCTAAAATGTGCTGCAGCATCTCAATTCACACTTGTGTTATTTTTGTCTTTTCTTAAACATCAGGATTTTTTTGCATCTTCCACATGACTCTTCAGTTGTAAATATTTATGAGTTCTCACCTTGGAGGCATACCTTCGAAATGTATGGCTTTGTTTTTATTTGTACCAGCCCAACATCCGTACCTTGGCATGTTTTCACACACTGGCTCCTCCACTCCTTCCTTCCTTCCTCTTGAAAATGTCACTTGTTGAGTGAGTGACTCCTTCCAGGTATCATGGTAGGCACAGGACTTTCATAGTTAACAACACAGTCTCTGCCTCAAGGAACTTAGATTTTCCCCTTTATTTTAAGAGAAATAAAATTCCTCTTAGTGGACATGTCCTATCTGCTGTATTTGGACAATGAGTATTCCATGATTATTTATTACATCAAGTTATTTGAAAATTAATATTTCTTGCAAAATTCCATATACTACACAAATGTAAAATAAAGCCCTCTTTAAAAGGTAATTTTCAGAAACAAATTATATGATTCTCAATTATTACTGTTTATAAATATTTTCCTTCTCAAAAGCAAATATGCTTCCTTGACTCTTTCTCCTGGTTTTGAATTCTGCCTGGTTTTTTTATTCATGTTCAGTAAAACTAAAACCCTGCTTCCCAGAAGAACTATTTTGGAATGCAGCTATGAGTGGGGATGATACAATGTGTTCAATATAATAGAATAAAAATAAGTTTTCTAAAAAAAAAAAAAAGCAAAATTTTCTTTCCTACCATTTGTGTAGAAATGTGGCCTTTTAAAACATACATGATTTAGCATTGACATATTCATCTCTTTCAGTAGTATTCATCTCTTTCTAGAGCTACTGAAATACCAAAAATAGATATTATTTTCCTAAGGAAACCCTTGTCTGGGGAGATGAGCACTTAGCTAATTTACTATCACTGCTTGTGCTATTTGAGTCATAGACAGTGTTTGAATCTTCCAGTATTTCGCTACTGTGTGCAATCTGTATTCAGACAGGCCTATAAATCACCCCACTGTAATTCAGTCTAATCCTCTGTGGCCTTACTTGTACAACAGACAGATGTGAGGCTTTCGGTTCCAATGGAAGATGGGCGCTCTTTATTTTCTTTTTGTTCTTGAACTAGCATTTCTATAAAGAACTATTTTTTCAAATGCTTAATATTAAATCCTAAGAGTGTGGCATTTCTTTTGAAGTACTCTTTGTGACGGGCTCATTCTTCTAAGTTCGTGGAAGAGTGTGTGTGTGTGTGTGTGTGTGTGTGTGTGTGTGAATACTGATATAAATATGGTGTCATATAGTTCACGGTTTTTTTTCCTACACGATGCAGAATGAAACATAATTGCACTAGATGGCCTTGGAAACTACCTGTTTCTTTCTGAAAACCACCAAATCTTAAGACAGTCCTCCCATATGCAACCCCTCTGCCATTGCCTTAGTTCCTGTTCTCGTCATCTCTTACCTGAACTGTTGATTCTAGAAGTTCCTAACTGGAAGTCTTCCTCACTCCCCAACCGGCCTCTTCCCCATTCCATTTCATGCCAGAAATATCATCATCATCCATTTCATGCCAGAAATATCATCATCAACTCTGATCATATCACTCCCCTGGGTAAAGACTTCCTCTGGCTTCAATAGGTTGCTGACAGGCTAAATCCTAACTTCCTATAACAGAGGGGCATATGACTCTCAGATATTGGTCACCAAGCCCAGGCCCCCAGACTCCAACCAAAGGGAAGTTTCCTTCGGAAAATTTTCACCACTGAATTTCTCATCTATTACGTAACAAATTGTCTCAAAACTCAACAACTTAAATAAACAATTATTTTTGTAGTTCCTGTGGATCAGGAATGCTAGAGTGGCTTAACCAAGTGGTGTTGGCTCAGGGTATTTCACGAGGCTGCAGACAAGATGGCAGCTGGGGCTTGACCACTTCCAAGGTGGCTCACAAGGTATTAGCAAGAGGCCTCAATTTTCTACAGCATGGGCCTCTCCCAGGGACTGCCTGAGAGTCCTTATAACATCTGGTTCCCCCTAGAGGGAGTGACCAAGGAGAGGGAGCAAGGAGGATGCCACAATGCCTCATACAGTTCAGTGTCCTGGATCACACACATTCAATATGTGTGATGGCTGTCCATCACAATCAGTTCACTCGAAATGGGTTACTAAATATAGCCCACTCTCCCAAGGAGAGGAGTGAGACACATATTTTAAAGGGAGGAATATCAAGGTAACTTATGGACATATCTTAAAACAGCCATTGCTGCAGAGTTTCAGTAGCTCTTCACTCTGGAAGGAATGTTTTCTCCTCCCTCCTTGACCACACAGACACTTGCTCTTTCAATACTCAATACAACCATCAATCAGTGCAATTTTTTTTTGAGTTTCCGTGTTGCCTTTCCCCACTAGATTATATTTTTTGTCATGGCCATGACCCAGCCTTTTCTAGCCTAAATAGTGCTTTGTGTGAATTTTAAAAAGGTGTGCCTTCCTCAAAATATTTTATTCCTTGCCAAAAAAAAAAAAAAAATGAAAACATCCTAATAAACATGCAAATCTCTAATGACTGGGATGCAGACTGTGGTCCGAGAGTTGGGCAGCAAGCAGCAAACACAGACGCCCAGGGTAAATAAGAGGTTCTTAATCAGTATGTACTGACTTTTTTTTTTTCACGTTCACGTCCTATGCCAAACTATAAATGTCACCACAATAAACCCAAAGTGATAGTTATTGTCCCCATTTTAGAGGTGAAGAAACTTAGTTCCATGGAGATTATGCACCTTAACCAAGATCCCAGAGAAAGAAATTTGCGGAGTGGAACTTGAAACTCAACTCTGATTCGAAATGTTTTGAGGAAGGCATGCCCTCCCTACAGTCCAGTTGAAGATAAGAAGAGGCAAACTGAGTGTGTTATGCTTACACACAGAAGGGCCCTTACATTCATTTTGGTATTTTTAACTGATGCCTGTGTGAAAAAACAGTCCTCAAGCAGTCAAAATTTCAGCGATTTCATTCGTACCTAAATGGGAGCCCATAAAGTTAGAAAAAAGACCAGCTCTTCCACTGTGGGTAACACACAGCCCACTGAGTTCAAAGAGACAAGGACATTCGGATTGTGTGCTTCAGTTTTGTGTGTGCCATATTTTAAAATCGCATCCTGTCTGTTTTGATCAAGGACTTTTAGAAGGGTATCGAAAAATGGCCACAATTCAACAATCAGGAAACACATTTTGACTATTTGGTGAGTCAGCATCACTGTGTTCTCCCATCCTTGCAGGTGTAGCTGGCATGTTCTGACCAGAAGGAGTAAAGAGGGTAAGGATGCTCCAGATAAACTGAGTAGATTTCTAACTCGGTAGTCAGAAGAGATGGCTAATCTCATCAGCATTTTGAACATGCCAAACCTGACTTGTCCACTTAGCCCTGTAAAATAACTGGGGTTCTGTCACTTTCTACAGTGCTGAACAACAGCTGAGCTGGAAGGACCCCAAGCTGGGTGGCTGCATGTGTGGCTCTGCACAGGTCACCTTCGTGAGGGTTTCTCCTGTGTGTTCAGGTCCTGTCCCCTTGCTTTGGCAGAAACTCTGGAGAAGGAAAAGCCAGAAGGAGATGGGCCTCGGCTGCCTTTAGAACCCCTTCCTCCAATACCTGGGACTCACCTGCCTCAAAATGTGCCATCATTCCCTCACCTGGAAAATGGGGGGAGGCCATCAAATGGATGTGAGCCCTTGGCCTCACATCCTATGCTAAACTATAAACAACATTCGTAGTTCGTTTATAGTTTAGCATAGGATGTTTATTGCACGGATAACTGTTTTTGAAGCATTAGGATGATGTGTGAAGAATATGAGAATTCAGAGAAGACAGGGTTCATGGGCAAGTAGGACAGCAAGTGAGGTCCAATGGGGGCCAAACACTTAATGGAACAGCGTTTTAGGCTCTGTCTACCTGAGAGAGTGTTAATTGGGGAAGGAAATGAAGGGTTCTTTTCTAAATGGAAGGAATCTCCAGAAAAAGCCTCATTAAACTTTCAGATTGACCGAGGCTGACAGAATTGAATGTGGCCAAGTTCACACCAAGATACCATCCAAAGTTGTGAGGATAAAGATTATGAGAGTCTTTTACTAGTTGAACGTTCTTTTCATGTGACATTCATGAAACAACTATCAGCATGTCTTAGATGGACACTATGCTAAGCACTTTGTCACATTATCTCACTTTATTCTCACAAGAACTTTAGAAGTAAATTAGAATCCATCTTACTGATGAGGAAGCTGAGGATTAAGTTTCCTCTCCAAGGCACACATCCAGTAAATGGAAAAAGCGAAACACAAACCCAGGTTCATAAAACATTAAGACTCATTCTATCATATGAAAATGAATTTTTAATATCTAGGATGGCGGGAGCCACTTTTGCTTCTTTGCAGTAAGTTGCATCTCATAACATTTCTCAGAACTTAAAACACTGTTGAACATACTGGTTTGTGATTGTTTCATAGAGTGAGTGACTCAAAACTGTTGAGCGTATGGGATCACATCAGGACCCATGTTTTTGGGTTCTTCTGAGAGGGACATTAGTAATAAAGTGTCCCTCTCCATGTTACTGTACAAAAGAGAAAACAGAGATCCAGATGAATAAGGTGGTGGACACAGCCGGGGCTGTAGGGCAAGGGAACTGGCAGAGGGGCTGGAACAGGGAGACAGATGCTCAGACCCCGTGAAGGAGCCTGGATCAAAGAACAGTGGAGCCTCGCAAGGCTAACAAC